ACACAGACATACATGCAGGCAAAACACCAGTACAAATAAAATAAAATTTAAAACTAACTAAATAAATGTTTTAAAAAAGAAAGAAAACCTTAGCTACAGCGGGAGCTGGAGGCCACTGTAGGCTATGTAAGACCCTGGGGGGGGGGTTGTTTGTTTAAGTATGTGGAGGGGCTCTGGATATAGAAATGTATCTCAGCTAGTACTGTTTGCCTAGCATGCACTAGACCCTGGGCTCAACCCCTGGCACCACAGAAAGCAGGTGTAGCAGCACTGGGGAGGCAAGAGGATCAGAAGTTCAAGGTCGGGGCTGGAGGAGACATGGCTCAGCTGTTAAAAGCACTTGTTCTTGCAGAGGACCTGGGCTTGGTTCCCAGCACCTGCAAAGTGGCTCACAACCATCTGTAACTCCAATTCTAGAGGACCCAATACCGTTTTATGACCTCCACAGGTAACAGATAATCCATGTGGTACACAGACATACATGCAGGCAAGACACTCATGCACATAAATAAATCTAAAAATTTTTTTAAAAAAAGCTCATAGTCATCCTTGGCTATATAGCAGCTTCAATGCCAGCTGGGGCTAGATGAGATCTTGTCAAAAACACAAAAACAAAACAAGAAAGCCAGAGGTATTCCAGCAGTTGGGGAGAGTGGGAATAGGGCTACTACAAGTTTTAGGCCAGCAGGGGTGAAAAGGTAAGATCTCATCTCAAATAGCAAACAAAAAAAGCTGGGTGTGGCGACCATACCTGTAATCTCAACACTTGGGAACTGAGGCAGGAGAATCAAGAGTTTCAAAGCCATCTAAAGCTACATAGGGAATCTAAGGACAGCCTAGGCTACATGAGACCCAAACACAGACCACCAAAAACTAAAACAAATTTAAAAACCACCAATAATCGAACAAATATAAAAGAATCAACCATAACCAAAAAGTAACCACAAAACCCTCAACAACTAAGTACTCTGCTCATTTTTAATGGAACTATTTGAGGTACTTGTTTTTGTTATTAAGTTATATGAGTTTCATTTATTTTTATTTAAATCTTTATTGTATATAATGATTTACAAATGACTTTTTTTACTCTGCTGGCTACCTTGCATTTTGTCTATCTCCTCTGCCTCTGCTGTATACAGTCACACTTCTTTAGCTTTAATGTGGTTTAGATGTCATATCCAAAAAGTTGCTGCCAAGACCAAAACCATGGAGCTTTTATCCTCTATCCTAGGACTTGTAAAGCTCCAGGACACGTGTGTGCATCCATGTGGTCTCTCTTCTCTCTTCTCTCTTCTCTCTTCTCTCTCTCTCTCTCTCTCTCTCTCTCTCTCTCTCTCTCTCTCTCTCTCTCTCTCTCTCTCTCTCACTCACTCCAAATTAATGTGTGGGTGGGTACATGTGCCTATACATACATGAGGAAGCCAAGGCAAGACTTACTGCACTGAGCCAGGGTCTCTCCCAAGTCAGAAGCCTGCCATCTGAGCTAAGGTGGATGGCCAGTGAGCTCTCAATACCCACCTGTCTTCACCTCCCAGTGCTAAGGTTATAGGCACTCAAACCCATGCACTGCTTTTTATGTGGATAGGGGAATTTGAACTCAAGTCCTCAGGTCCCCATGCTACAGGGAAAGTGCTCTTACTGCCAAGCCATCTCCCCAGCTATCAGATCTTACATCTAAATTTTAGGCCATTTTTTAGTTGGGTTTTGTGTATGGTATAAGAAATATACCATTCTTTCTCATGGATCATCTTGCTTCCTCACTTATTAAAGAGGCCGTCTGTCCCTTTCTCCACTGCATATTTTTGACCCCTTTGTCAAAGATTAGCTGACATTCCATGTGGAGTTTGCTTCTGGACTTTCTATTCCAGCACACTGGCCTGTCTCTATGTCTGTTTTTAGACTAACACTCCACCACTTTAATCGCTAGTTTTGTAACATAATTTAGAATCAGGTATTGTGGGACCTCCAGCTTGGCTCTTCTTTCTCAAGAGTGCTTTAGTTATTCGTGGTCTTTATAGCTTCATAAATTTTAGAATTTTTTTTTAATGTAAAAGAAATCTTCCTAAAACAAGTAATTCTAGAAAGCCTTCTGTTGTGGCTATGGTCACGCAAATACCTGTTTCTGGGAGAAATGCCACTTCAGTTCTGTAAGGACAGTGCTAAACGTGTATACTGCTTTGGGTAATGTGGATACTTTGGTCACACTGGTCCTATCGGCAGACTCTTTAGATGGCTTGGCGTAGATACTGTCCTGAACAAAGAGGATTCCCACCTGTGACCCTCTCCACTCGCTCCAGTGACTCCCCTCAAAGGAGCCATCCTAGTGGCCATGGCCCCTCATTTGATGAAGGGCACCCTCTGTGTGCATCCCAGGTTAGCACAGGCATTGCTCCCTTCCTCTCACAGGAGTAACAAAGCCTTCTCTGTGAGCATGGCTGCAGGCCCAAAGGAAAATACCCAGGGAGCTAAGCAGACACACTCCGAGCTGTCAGGGAACTCACACACAAGGCAGAGAGGTGGCCTCAAGGCATCTGGAGAAAAGGTCTTAGGCAAAACACTAACTGGACAAGCTGCCCCAGAGCTCAGCTCTAGATCATGTGTTAGTCACCAAGAGAGAACAGAGGAGCTGTGTCTCTTGTTTCTCCACGGCCTCTGCCATATCTGACCCGTCTACAGAAATACATACAGTACTGCAGGTGCTGCAGCATCAGAGACGGGCTCTTCCACTTCACCCGTGTCACCAGGGGGTCACCTCTTGGAACCTCAGTTTCGTTATCTGTGACATTTGGGTATTTCACAAGACTAAACTCAGTGAGATTAAGAAGCATGAAATAAGGCAGCCATGGCAGTGCTCAAGCAATCCCAGCACTCAGGAGGCAGAGGCAGGAGCATCTCTGTGAGCTTGAGGCCAGCCTGGTCTACAGAGTGAGTTCCAGGACAGTCATGGATACACAGCAAAGCATAGGTGTGTTTATCCTAATACTGTTCTACACGCCTTCTGTACGGCCATGGCCAAGCACACACCTAGCCTGCAGCCAGCATCTGACCACTCCTCCCTAAAGATGGCATCATGGGAGAGAGGCCCTTAACACAGGACAAATAGCAGCTGGTGGACCCCAGGATCCCTGTGGGCATTTCAACAAGGCATTGCGTGACTAACAAGCCACAGGGGCCTGAAGCCCCAACTGAGCACATAAAATACCCACAGCGGAATCAAACAGGAGGGAGCGAATGCCTACCATCCTTTAGTAGACAAGGCAGCTGGTGCTCACAGCTATGAAGGGACTTGTGCAGGGCCACCTGTACAGGGCTACTCTGCTTTACACTAGATGACTCTACCCACCCACCTCCTCATTCTCTCCCAGGAGATCACCTCCCCAGAATGTAACCTTTCCTCATCAGGTCCACCAGCAGGAGGAGTATAGGCCCTGAGGAGAGGGGATGAAGGCAGATGGGGAGGGTAAGGAAATTAACTTAGCCTAATTTCCAGAAGGGTCGTCTTTCTAAGCCTGACTCAATGACTTACTGTTTACAGCCATAATGGTCCAGCCATAAGCTGGACTCATTCATAGCCATTTGCAGACTCAGCTTCACCGGTGGCTCCTGCTCTGTGTTACAAAGCCCATGCACACCATTGTATCCTCAGGGGCACCGAGCCTCTCAGGCCTCTGGACCTTCCCCCTGTGCTGCTCCAGAAGCCTGGAGGCCTGCAGCCTGTTTGGCATACTCCTCTCCAGACCATTTCTCACCTGCTTCTGCGCCTAGTGCTGACAAGTCACTCAGCTAGCGACCGGACTCTTAAGCTTCCTGAAGGCAAGGACTAAGTCTGCCACTTCTGCTGTGGTAACCAGTATCCACCTCACCCCTGCTGATAAACTGAGCTAAAAGACCATTTCCTGAGTGAGTCTAAACTGAGCTGCATTAGAGCTGTGCTGCTCCTACAAGACAACCTTCCTCACGAGTCCCTGGTTGAGGAACACAACAGAACCAATGAGCTCTTCACAACTGAAGAGAGGTGAGCTTGCTGCCAGGCTCTTAGCACCTTTCTGACAATTTTAGTTGTGGAAAAGACCTGGGTAAACATGGGTCAACTGGGCACATGTCGCCACTGACACCTGCATGAGTGGGCAGATGGCTGTGGACAGAATACCCTCAACTTAACAATGCATGGCGAGTCACAGGATTTTCAGATTTCGGTGTTGTGGGTGAAAATCCAGGTGTGGTGTGGTCATGCACAACTTTCATCCTACCATTTGGGAGGCAGAGGCAAGTGGATCTCTGTGAGTTCCAGGCCAGTCAGAGTAACATGGTAAGACCTTGTATCAGAAAGAAAGGAAGGAAGAAAGAGGGAGGGAGGGAGGGAGGGAGGGAGGAAAACCAACAGCCATGCCATCTGGTTTAGACCATGTACCTCTATGCCAGAATACCTGGCTATCATAAAAACTATGACTACTGACCCTAGGTGGCACACTTCCAGGCAACCCATTCACACTGTGTATGCAGTTTGTTTCCAAAAGTAAAGAGCCTGCCCCAGCCCTCGTCATAAGAATGCTGGGCTGTGCCCATTTCTTTGGACAGGGCTTTGCTTGTTTTGGTAACTCTAACAAAGTCTTAAAATGACAGTTCCTATAACATGCCCTGGTTGTTGTGAACATTTCTTTATAACAGAAACATGCAGAAAAAGTTGGCGTCACACCCAAAGTTGCTAATCAGCTATGTACGACTCCATCTGTTTGGGTATATGGCTAAAGAAACCTGCTAAGACACTGGAAGGAAGCTGTCTTTCCAATGCCTGTGGGAGTCAGGCCTGTGACACGGCAGATAGCATGCCGTTATATAACTGCTGTTAAGAGCCACCTGCATTTTCTTTAGGCAACAAAAATTCCCCCTGAACTTCATTTAGAACCTAATGACTTTCTTTCAAGCAAGAAAAAGGGAAAAAACATGTAGGCAAACTTGGGATATGATGGCACAGAAGTGTGAACTGCATAGCTACCCACCTAGTTTAATTTCTTTTTCCTGCTTGCATCTCTTCAGATTTTTCACTCTTGATTAATCAGTGTGGAAGTCTAAGAAACAAGAAGAAAAGAAACTGAGATTAGAGCCAGGCACACTCTGGGCTGTCTGCAAACTGGAGCAGCCTTTGGGAAGACGACTTTGCTGCAGTATCTGTTAACGTGGAATGAGCACTTCCTTTGAGTGAACCCAATGTTCAGAAGTCGGTACCAGGGATATATTCCAACAAGTAAAAGATACTGTGTGGAATTAGCTGCCTATACGGGATCGAGTCAGATTTCTGGGTATCAGTATGCCAAGACACCACATAGCCATTTCAAAGTGTAAAGAACTAACATGGAAAGAAGTTAATGTTTAGTTGCTTAAAAGAATATTGTAGCCAGGTGGTGGTGGCTCACGTCTTTAATCCCAGCACTTGGGAGGCAGAGGCAGATGGATCTCTGTGAGTTCAAGGTCAGCCTGGCGTTCAGAGCTACTTCTAGAGACAATCAGGAAGAAAAAAAAAATCATGAAATTACATATATTAAGTAAAAAAAAATGTAAAATTGCATATATTACTGTTGCTTTTTTGTGGGGGACAGTCTTCCTATGTGGTTCCAACTGCCCTCACAATCTCCTCCTCGGTGCTGAGGTGACAGGTGTTGATGGCACACAGCTACGTACATACCTGCATGTGGGACAGTAAGCTGCATTTGCCCTGACTTTTTTGGGCAGGAGGGGAGTGGTGGTGGTGGTAAGATCACAACAGAAAGGGCTTCCATTCCATGGTGCTGTTCTGTCTTTTTGAGACAGGTTCCTGACTAGCTGGAATGCTATGTGTTGGCATGCAGGTTTCTGTGAACTTCAGGTCAGCAAAGCTACAAAGTGAGAGCCTGCCTATCAATAAATAAAGCCTACAACGTAAACTCCCTCCCCTCTGGGAAGCCCATTCCATCCTGGGAGTGGCTGCTGCTGGGAAGAGGATGTTTCAGACCAAGGATCTGCTCACTGGCTGCTCCCAGCAGATGCTCTGGCTTCCATATCCCACGAGACCAGAACCAGATAAGGGAAATGTGAACACTGTTTGAATCATTTAGACAGAGGAGAAAGCAGAGGAAATGATAGCATTAAAGAGTGAAAGGAGCCAAGGCTCGACACAGTTGCCAAGAGAACTGCCTGACTGCATCAGCCCTTCCAGAGTTCCCAGAGGGCCTCTGCTCTCCTCTGCTCCAGGGCTTTGCTTCTCACTTTGTCTTAATTGATAGTAAAGATTTCAATGAAACAGCAATGGCATCTCCCATCTTCACATACCCTACAATGCATATTTGCTTTGCTTCTCACTGCACTCAGCCTTTGCCCTCTATGCTTCTTCATGGCAGCAACCACCATGCAGGCCACGACGTGTTCAGGCCTGCTGCACTGTTAACCTTCAGCAGTCTCATTCCCCCCCACCCCCTCATTCCCTCCCACCCCCTCATTCCCCCCACCCCCTCATTCACCCCACTCCTTATGCTTTGCCTACAACGGCCTTTCAGCTTCCTGAACATTCTACAGGTTTTCCTGCCTCCAATCTTCTTGCTCTCCTGCTCCTCTCCCTCCCTGGGTGCTCCTCTCCCTCCCTGGGTGCTCCTCTCCCTCCCTGGGGCTCCTCTCCCTCCCTGGGGGCTCCTCTCCCTCCCTGGGTTAGTCTTCCGGCTCCATGCTATCCTTTAACCTTATCCCTTACCCCTTGGCTCATGGCGTCAAGGCCTCCTGACTCTGTTCCAGCACCACCTCTTGGAGGAAGCCATGGCCCACACTCTCCTGTATCTCATTTAGCCTGTTCATGCAGCCTGAACACCGAATCTTGCGCTGGGTGAACTTCATTTGGGAAGGGCCATTCCTGTGTTCTTTCACACCACCCATCTATCACCACACCCACTACAAGTGGTGAATGGATATTGGCCGACCACAAGAAATGTCCTCAACATGAACTGAAAGTGTGGCCTCAATGATACGCTTTCTTTTCTGCCTTTTCAGGCTTGCCACCACTCTCTGGGGACACACGACAACAGGTTTGCTTTGTTGAAACAGGGCTTGTTTGTATGTTTGTTTGTTTTTATTTTTGGTTTTTTATTTTTTTATTTTTTTCAAGACAGGGTTCTCTGTGAAACACTTCTGGCTGTCCTGGAGCTCACTCTGTAGACCAGGCTGGCCTCGAACTCACAGAGATCCGCCTGCCTCTGCCTCCTGAGTGCTGGGATTAAAGGCGTGTGTCACCACACCTGCCTTCCTTTTATTTCTTTAACTGCTGGAAGTTGTTTTGTTTTTGTTTTTTAATTTCTTGTTCTGTTACTTTCTTGTACATTTAATTTCAAAATTTATTATGTGTGTGCTTCGTGTGTGTGTGTGTGTGTGTGTGTGTGTGTGTGTGTGTGTGTGTGAAAGAGACAGACAGAGAGACAGAGACAAATGTGGGGAGAGCCTATGAAGCTCTGATCCAGACACTTTCTAGGTCATAATTCAAAAATTTTCAGTAACTGTATGGTTGGCTACCATCTTGGCTGGTAACCTGGTGTGTGTGTGTGTGTGTGTGTGTGTGTGTGTGTGTGTGTGTGTGTGTGTGTCTGTGCCTGTGTGTGTGCACAGAAGCTTTTCCATATTTTTGTTTATGAGCCTAGCCTTTAACAGCTGAGCCATGAGCCATCTATTCAGCCCAAGAAGCTCTTTAAAAAAGATCTTGGCCAAGGCCAGGCATGGTGGTGCATGCCTTTAATCCTAGCACGAGGGAGGGATTTGAGTTTGAGACCAGCCTGGTCTACACATAAAATTCCAGGCCAGCCAGGGCTACATAGTGAGACCCTGTCTCAAAACAAACAAATTAAAATAAAAACTTAAAAGGTCTTACCCCCCCCTTCATATTCTCACAACAGCACCATTCAGGAGGCTTAACACCCAGATTTTAACTAGCAGGGCAGGACAAATGGAGGTGGCAGCCCCTACCCAATCAAATGGTAGTTCTGCCTGTATAGTGGACACCACCAGAACACACATGCCTCCAGGATACACAAATGCACAGGACCCCAGGCCCAGGGAGAAACATGGCGGTCTGAGCAGAAGACGGTGAGAGGGATATGTAGACAGATACCAGGTAAGTGAAAGACTGAATGGTGATTTATTTCAAGTATTTTTCTGCACTGTCTAGCTTTCTTTCCTTAAATATGTTCTAAATTTGTAACTGGAGAAGGAAGAACATCACAATCAATGCTATAGAAACAAACCAACAGAAAATCCACTGCTGACTGTAGACTCCAAGTTACTCACCCCTATAGTTGGGGTTCCCAATCTGGGGCCATCCATCCCAGGAAGGACCCTGTATTGTGAGGAAGAGTTTCTACCATTCCTCTGAAGCATGGGAGACAGACAGGAAGGTGACGGAGCAAGTGTCTTGGCTGCAGCAGTAGCTGCAGCTGCTCCCAGCCCAAGAGCTGCCAGCTGTCAGCACAGGAACTGGAGGAAGAGTGGGGGCTGAGAGCAGCCAGAGCTCAGAGCCTCTGCGGCCCCACTGCCTAGCGCTCCACAGCCCTCCACATGTCTTGTTTGTCCACACGGCACATGCCACGGTAACTGTTCACTCCCGCTGTCTGCCTTGAATCACAGGGCTTGGGGGGTAGCCCTGTGGCAGGGTGCTTGCCTGGCATGAAGCTGGGGTTTTTTTTTTTTTTTTTGGTTTGGTTCCTGTCCTGGATCTCACTCTGTAGACCAGGCTGGCCTTGAACTCACAGAGATCTGCTTGGCTCTGCCTCCCGAGTGCTGGGATTAAAGGCGTGCGCTGCCGCCGTGCCACCACCCGGCTATGAACTTGGTTTAAACATCAATGCTTCACTTAAAACAAAACAAAACACAACAAACTATAGTAACAACCCAGGAACCGTGTGGAATTCTGAGCAGGACCTGGTAGCATTTACCTACAAATTATAAATGTGGGAGGAAGAGTAGTAAAGGCCAGCTTCAGCTACCTAGGGAGTCTGAGCCAGCCTGGACTAGACATGATCCTGTCTCAAAAAGAAGAGGGGTGGGAAGGAAGAGAAAACAGCTAAGGCTGGGTCTGTAATCACCTAGTTTTCTAGCCCAGTGCTCAGCACTGTGGGAATGTGACAGACAGCCCTAACCTGATGGCACTGTGTTACAGCATGCCCAGGAAGAAACCACTCTATCCCAGTCATTAATGACCCTTCTTTCCGGTTGCCCTGGGTGGTCTGGTTTACTAGTTTATACAACTGACAATTTATACAGGACTCCCCTGTGGTGGCTAAGGACTTAACCCAGTACCAGGCACCCCCTAATAGCTGTTGATCTTTGTCCTGAACTGCCCGTGAGATCCTAGTGGCCTGCAAGTGTTGGCCATGTGAGATAAGAAAACTGGCGTTACCTTTACCATTGTGAAGGAATTAACCACTGTGCTCTGGCTTTTGTAAACCCGCTATGGCTCTGGGTCTGGGATGAGATGGTCTCTTTACCTCTGACAAACAACTGAGGGAGTGGAGCCTTTTCTCCTCCAGCTGTGGATTCCACAGAGCACGAGATAACTGTGATGCCCACCTCTGGGGTCCACCTCTCTAAACCCTCCCTTTAGCCCCCTCCGTCACTACAAGCTCCTGACTTGGCTCTAAGGCTGTTGTCCTTCTGCTAGAAGTAAGAATAAATTCATTTAATCTGAACTCAAATTGACAAATTGAGTCTAAGTCTTTAGTCTTTCCCAGTGCATTCAAACTCTACAACAATATGAGACCTCAATACACATTTACAGAATAGTGGAGACCACATCTATAAAGCATTATACAGAGCTGACCTAGAGCCCTGGGACACAAGTGTGCATTAACCACCAGACACTTCCTTTCTTTGGGGCTCTAAAGGTCCATAACCCTGTCCTAAAGAGCCAAATGGAAGCAGTAATTTCTTCGAACATCAACAAAGCTTCTCTTACATTTGGGAAAGGCTGGCTTCATAGTGATTTGTTCTAATCTGCAATTCATAATTTGTTGGCCTCACAGCTGAGTGCAACTCCCAGAGAAACCATGCTTTCTAGAGGAAG